GTTTAAATTTTTTTATTTAAAAATAATAATAAACAAGGAACGGCCGCAGATAGAGAATTGGGTGACGTGGGACAAAACGACAAGATTGGTCGCCGAATCGGAGTGCGAATCATTACTGCTTTTCTGACAAACTCCAGCCTGTAAACCTTCCACCACCTTATAACGGCCTCTTCTTCCCACCTTCCTCATAACTGACACCTGGCAGTCACCCTTCCCTCCCTCAAGCCTTACTCCCCCAACACTCCACCTGTACGGAACCGGTAAAGCCCCCCCCCGCCCCCTTCTCTCTCCCCTCGTGTGACCTTCCCGTAACCTTCCTCGTCCCCTTAACTAATTAAGTAATTAAAAAAAAAAACAGTATTAAACAATATTTTAATTAATAAAAAGTTATAATTAATTAAAACGGTGCGGATTATTGGGAATAGTGATATATTGAATGGAGGGGATATGGCCAAGAGATCCGTATCCGTTTCTGTTACTCGTACGTCGTACCTACTAACCTAATAACCTGTTGTTTGGTGTGAGGGTCGGGTATTCGTTAATTATTATTTTTATTTTCCACAGTCGGTGCGAGATTTATCCCAATATTCTGCTTCGCATTCCTTCTATCCAAGAGAATTAGATTAATAAATGGAAATTAGTTATTAATTAATTATAATTATTAATTCATGAACGTATTTATTAATTGAATATATATATATCTCTCTCTCAATTGAATGAATTTAATTATATGCAGCTAAAAATTAAAATTTTGACGATATAAAATTTAAATTAAATTATTCAATTTTTACTTTAAAAGTTCTCAATTAAATTATGCAATTGCCACAAATTTATGACAACTATAAAAATAAAAAGACGAAGAATTAAAAAAAAAAAAAAAAAAAAAAAAGATACTAATTTACTATATGGTCTCAATTTTTCTTTTTGGGTCAAATTATAATAAATTAAGAATTAAGAATTAATTCGTGCACAATTATTTTCAGGAACAACTTCTAGATTTAATACAGGGTGGAGATATTCATAAAATAATTCCCAATTGCAAGATTGACAAGTGAAATTTAAGGATGGTCAACAACAATCTATATGAATTGGAATAAGATTAATAACACATAAATACATATAAATTAATGGGCAAGGAACCGTAGGTTCATGGGTAAGGATTCAATGGGCTAAAAATTCTATCACATTTAAGGTATATGTAATTATATAGATGCAGCTGTCTAGTGGCGACACATAGATATGTGCAATATTGTATCGTATGGACCCATTCTTAATTATGTATATAAACATATACTCACATAAATCCAATTCATGTTCTTGCAATATAACATGTTCCCACATATACGTAAAATATATAAAGCATAATTGAATATTCAACACAGGAATGAATGAACCTTCATCGCTAACCCAGCTTTTTTCTGTTCACCCTTTTTCTATAATTTATAATTTATATAAAAATATATTTTTTTTTTAAAAAAAGAGAGAGTTTAAAAAAAAGACTCCCAGTACTTTTTTTTCATTTTCGTTCTTTATTTTTAAAAAAGTAAAGGAGATACGGATAAATCGTACTTTCTGTTTTGTAACCGTTAGATGGGGACAGGTGTCGGGCAACCACTTATTCTCTTTTTTTTTTTTTTAATTAAATTTTAAAGACCGTTTTTCTTTTTTTATTTTCAAACCGCTACTACGGCATGTGCGGGAAGAGGCTTGATCACGTGCCTGAGCCAAGCCGATAGCAGACACACGTGCGACTTGCATCCTCTGGACACGGCAGATCCCAATATAATCCCACGTGTGAGCTGACAAATTTGACCACTTGCACACCCTCGTTCTCGAAAATACAATAAGGGTAATAGAGTAATTTAACTCATTTCAGATCACGTGAAAATACACAAATGTAGGTTTGGTTATATTAATGTTCGGGGATAAACCCGATTTGAGGTTAGAGTACAAAGTTTGTACATGGTTTTTTTTAATTATCGAAATTGTCGGTTCGTCAAAATAATAATAATAAATAAATTGCAAAATTGACACGTAGGATGTTTATTATCTGAATGTCAGGAAAATTTGTGTGGAATAAAAGAGAAGAAGCACCATCGGAGGACCACCACCATACGTCTAAGGTCATATTCCTTATAATACAATTTCTACCTGTCCTATTATGCTTTTTAAGAAATTGAAATTTTAATTAAAAAATGCAAGTTGTAGTAATTAAAAGTATATATCGTAATGGGAGAAGAAAAAAGCTCACTCTTTCATGGCCAAACAAAAATTGAGATCAGAATTTGTATTGACAAATTAATTTATTTTTTAAATATTTGAAAACTTTCATATTTAATAATTTTTTGTGATTTATAAAAATTACAGAAACTATATGAAAATGATGTAAAGGGTAAGTGGTAAATTAATTTTACCACGTTCATATCATTTCCCACGAGAATTGCATTGTAAAAAAAATATAGTAAATAAAAAAACAAAGACATAAAACGCACCGTCCAATTTTTTTGCAGAGGACTCCTCAATCATGAATTATTATCGTCGCAACCCCGGGGAAGAGGGGCACGTGGAAAACGTGGGTGATTTTAAAGGGGTAAAGTGGTAAAACACGCTTCGCCTCTTGCAGTAACGGACAAAAGATGACAGTTGTGAGAACGCAGGAAGCTACCTACACATGTTTAATTCTAACAGGTGCCACGTAGGCAGAGAACGAATTGATAGTTCACCTTCAGACACAGGCGCTCTGCTGGCCCAAAATCTTGTCTTGTTTTGCGTTTTCTCCCTCCCGTTCAGGCCACGTCATAAGTTTGTTGGGAAGCGGACCCCCAACCCCTTTCTCTCTTTGTCGCTTTGAATCCGACGTGGCAAATCAAACGTCACCGTTCTGGGGGCCCGAGATAGCACAACGCGCGGTCTTGGTTTCCATGGTTTGTGTGTTATTGGTATTATTGGATTAAATTTCTGACTTGCCAAATTTTAATCAAATCACCAATTGAGATTGAGATCTTATTTATTAAACTAAAAAATTTAATTAATAAAATAATTATTTTAATAATTATAATGGTCGTAAAAAAATAATTTGTGTGGGGAGGGGGGGCAATTGTTTTATAGTAATCAGTTGTTGTCTCCTTTTGAACCGTCAATGGGATAAGCCAATGGGGAGGGCCACGTAATGGGGACAGAGCCAGTATGCCAGCTATAACGCATAACTCTTTTTTATTATTTTATAAATTAAAAAAAAAAACAATAATATTTTTGAGTTAATCGAAAAAGACAGCATCTCTTTTTGGGTTTGCTTGGGATTCGTTTAGGATGATCCCTTCGCCATCCCATGATTCCCGCTATCGTAAGCCGTATGCATCCGTCGTACCAGTTTTCACCCTTCTTCAATTATTGAGTCGTGTGCTTCCGTCTTCTCTTCGTATCTTCTTTTCCCTCCCTCCCCCACTCACCCCAAACGAAGTCGTTTTGCTCTTCATTAAATTATCCTATTTTTTAATTTATCTATAATAATAATAATAATATATATATATATATATATTTTTTAAAAAAAGGTGGGTTTTAAATAGGAAGATCCATCATCCAACTGACTACCGCCAAAAAATGAGGACATGATACGCCATCGTTTAATGGCAACTTATAGAGGACTCAACTTACACCACCCAGTCAGTCTCTTTTTCTTCAACTTTTCTTCTTCTTCATTTCAACACTCCAACCCTTTTCATTCCTTGTTTCCGTCCAGAAAGCAAAGTGAATTAATTAGTTAATTAGTTTAATTAATTACACGAAGCTTCTTCTTTTTCACATGTTTATCCACATACTTAAACCTTTATATTAGCTTAATTTTGAAACCCAAAAGTGCTCTCGCCAAGCAATTTTCTAATATTTCACCAGGAGGAATGAACTATTTCTCTGTTTGACATTTTGTTTTCAATATATCAATAATTGTACGACTCTGTAATATCTTTTGATCGTTGAAGAAATCGAGTTGGCAATCAATATAACAGTTGTAAAACCAAGGACCACCCTCACGCTCCCAGTTATATCTCCATCATAATTAAAAATATTATTCTCGTCTAATTTTAATTAATTACGCCTAATATGACTTAATTACAATAATCTCAAAAACTATGTGCCTCAACTAGTCTACATCAAGCTTACATGACTTGTATAATTGTGACAAGTTAGTAGAAACTAATCTGACATGGTTGGTCAAAAGCATTAAAGTCTAGATGGAAATACAGTTCAAGGAAATTGGCTCATCGGTTAGACACGTTCAACTT